GTTAATCCCACTACCAGTATGTGCATGCAATGGCGCGGGTACTTTCAACATGGCACTCGGATGTTCCAAATTCTCTCGGCACTTGGTTTTGTTCTTCGGATTAAAAGTGGGGACATTACTGTCAGTCCACTTATTGTATTCTTCAGTGCTGACTGTTACGTCACGTTAAATTGGCTTAGGATTGTTGTGAGAATGCCATATAATATGGCAATTATTGGTTAACGTAGTCGAAAATCCATTTATTCATTCTAAAATAAATAACCTTGTTTTTTCTTGTTTATGGCTTACTTGATAACGATCAATGAGCAGCGGGTTGTGTTTTGTGTTAGAATGAGGAAGACGGAGTTAAAACAAGAGAAATTGACGGTGGAAGCCCCAGCGAGATAGACCGTCTGTCTAGCATCTCCCAGACTGGATCTGACAGTGGCCAACAATCTTTCAGGGTTCGTTTTCTTTCCTTGACTCATAGTGTTTGTAAGTCACGAGAACAATGTAGGACTGTCTATACTTCACATCACTTATTTTTGGTTGCTTGTAAGCAGGCATGTATGTATAAATGTGCATTTTACTTTATAGGAATTAGATATGAAAATGAGCGTGCCAACATGTAATTTAGTAAGTTATTGTAATACAAGCACCAAGTGAGGCGCGGTATCGAGGTGTTAATTCCCTGGAAAACAACAAACCCTGTTTGTTCCATAGACTGCCTAACGCATTTTAATGGTTCCGAAAACGAGGTAACCAAGCCAGATTCATTGCAGGCAATGAATTTTGGCGGCCCAGGTCCACCAGCCCGTTTGGCTGTCTTATTAGTGTGACATTTAAGAATTTATGCTTTCAACAAACCAAAATCTTCAGAAATGGCAATCGGCCACTACAACTGTTACCTTATATGCTTACTGATAGTTTCATATTTTTTGAATAAACTGTAAACTTTAAATGCAGGGTTGCATTTTTGAAACAGTAGTTTACATTCAGCAGAACAAACGAGTAAGTAGCTTTATCAGTGGGTCCGCAGCAAAAGGTCCTTTTTAGTCAACGGTTCCCCAGGTTTTGTTTCATGAGCGCATTTATTCCAAAACTACGTCGGTCCGAACACCTACATGCGATGGAATGTCACAGCCACACTAAGCGCTAATTTTGTTCTTTGTGGACTTTCAGGAATCTGAGGCCGAAGGTGAGGTGTCCGATGTATTTATGGATTTCCCCTTGGACAAAAAGGTGAGACTTGGTTAAATGATTGTGGGCACAATCGCCCCTGACTACAATATTTGTGGTTTACTGGTTTCCACTGCTGTGATAATGTGGCACGTGGATCCATCATTTTAAACTAGCTGGGTTAAGTGTCGCATCATATACTGCCTAAGTTCTGGATTCCCTGATATGACTGCACATGTAAAGTGCAGAACGAGCAGACGGTAATAGGTAATTCGGGCCCAGTCAGGTTAAAATGATAAGTGCATTGTGACTTGAGAACACCTGGTTTCATTTCTAGTCTCATTGCAGCAGCTTATGTAGCCTTGGCACCCGTAAAGCTGCTTTGTGCAATTAGCCATTCGGTGCCAGATTCCTTCGAGAGCATCCTACATTTTAATTGCCTAATTGGTCATATTTCTCAATGAATTTAGTACGGATTTAAACAGTTGAAGGGACCTATAAACTATATCATGCTTTTAATATCAAAATGATTATCATTCTGCAGCATGAGTCTGTGACACGCAGGACGCTGAAATGGAACAAGCCAGAAGGTCTGTTGATGGCAGTTGGCTTTCTTGGGGCCGCGGTGAGTGGAGCCATTGAACCCAGCTTTGCATTGCTCTTCGCCGAAACTTTCGTCGTAAGTTTCCCGATTGGGATCAGTTATTTTCCCACTTCTCTAATTCTTGTGTGATGCTGGTGCTAAAGGACCTTCTCTTCGTCACCATTCGTACAAGTTTGAATCACTTCAGTCTTGCATAGTAAAACTAGGCAGATATATGGGACTTTTTCAGAATGTTACTAGACTTAACCCAGATGTGTGTGGGTAAACAAGGTCACCAATTGGAGGAAAGTGCGTGGGAGCGGATGTCGGCCAATAGAATTTGAGTGGACCAGCAAGTGCACAGGTGGCTGAAAATGGCCGGATGGGCCAGACGAGCGGCAGGGGAGGTGCGCACAGAGGCGAGTGGTCAGGTATGCCCCCATGAGTTGTCGGGACGCTGAGATTAAGGGGGCGCGGTGTGCGAGTTTGCGGTGACAGAGTTGATGGACATGATACACCGCAATTGATTGCACTGCTGTCTTCAAGAAGAACGTTACATATCATGACCGAAGTCGCTCACTCGCCCTCAGGCGCATTAATACTCGTCGAGATTTTGCTATTGCCGCTTTCCACTGCAATCCAATAAGTAACAGCGTCTAGGGGTTTGAGGGCACATTTGTCTCGTTTAGAGAGTCTACTCTATATGGAATCAGTGTTTGTGAATGAATTGCATATTCAACTTTAGTGAATAAGTTCGTGCACACCTGAAGGAGCTGTTGTTTACTGTAAATGAATGAGCAGTACAATTGACCCCACAAAGAATTTTTAATGCTAAACTCTTTTTGAAGTACACGCGATTTTGGTTTGTAGACTTTTCAACAAGTTATGCTAGGCAATGAAATCACTGATAAGGCACGTCTGATTACGGGACTAATGTCGGCCGTTGGCTTCGTCAAATTATTAGCTCAAATCTTACAGGTACGTTTCGCAGATTTATGTTAATTTCGTGCCAGCCTGTGTTGTAATACTTTGTTTACCTGTTCGCAGTATTGGTTACTAGCAATCACTGGTGAACGACTAACTCGTCGTGTTCGAAGGGCTTTATTTGAAGCAATGCTGAGACAGGTATTCATTTAATTTGGTTGAATTATTTAAACATTTAAGGTGGCCTTTCCCATATGTGATGAGTTTATAAAAATCACACCCTCTTTTATCCCTTACAACAAATAGGTTAATTGGGGACCGATTTTTCATAATTTCTATGCCCACGACTCACGTAAAAGCTCATGCACAAAGCGACAGAACCCAATCAAGCCGGTGAATACACGATTGTGCACCTTCAGTCAAGCATCCTCTCTGGGGTGACTATTGTAGTCGTAAATCTCAGCAAACTATTTCCCTCTAGTGCATTACACAAACTGGACATGGATGCATTTTTCCGTTACGATATAGTCGGGTTCCCTTGCCTCACGCATACAGCAAAACGTTGAGCATATGGGTAGCTAACCTGTGACAAAAAGAGTTACGCAACGCCGAAGTATATTGAATTTACGTAACCACGGAAAAAATCAACATTTTTCTCCAAATGCTTGGTGTTAGGATGCCTGTCTTTGGTGTGTTTTGTCATTAGCGTCTATTGATGCTGAGTTATGATTTGCAGTTGTACTTTATTCATGCTTGATCTAGTGCAAACGTATATCCCTCATCTATCAGACTAACCACCCCTTATTATACCTCGAAATTTCAAACTGAAACCTTCATAAATTTTGCTCTAATTCTACACAGGAGCCTGGCTGGTTTGACAGGCCAGAAAATCAGTGTGGCATTCTGACTGCACGACTCGCCAACGAAGCACCCCAACTGCATAAAATCTCTGGCCAACGTGGCGGGGTCATAGTGGAGAGCTTGGCGATCACCATAATCACCATTGTCCTAGCATTCTACTATTCCTGGCAACTGGCTCTCGTGAATATGGCATTTCTGCCAGCTCTCGTGTTTGTCGGTGCGCTTCAAGTAAGGGGACGTTGAGCTAGCAGAGTTCAGTAATAGAAACTCTTCCCTCTTCACTATCACCAACTTTTTATCCCTATTGGATTGGTGCTTCTGATGCCCCAGTGGTAGCTGTGGCTGTCATTCCATGAATTAAACTGTGGCCATCTAGTGGTTCTTACCTTTGGTAAGGTGACCAAAAGTTTCCGTTTAGACACATTACGAGATTCGATAATGCGCGATCGGTCGCACTGGCTTTTTCTGAAATGCGTGATAAAGAAGGGTGTTCATGTGGCTGCTTTCGTTTCACTTGAAGATTCACTTGACAGCGTGGGCTTCATCAGTCCAACAAGCATTGAACAAGAACTGGACTGTGGGAGGTACGATATAGGAAGGTAAATATTCTGCATTGCACTTTTCTCATCGCGGCGGAAGGCTTCGTCGATCCTGCAAGAAAGAGGGGTTAAGAGGACCATACAGTGGCTAGAATATCATTTCATGAACTGGGGCTCGATTTGGCCTATGTACCACAAAATAAGAAGCATTAATCATGTAAGTAAGGGTAAAAACCACACAGTTAGGTCTGGTATTACAAATTTTTAGAAACGTTCAGCGGAACAACTGATTTGTCACAATTCACAGTAGGTTTTAGCAGGGTTCGCTTGTTTTTTGTTGTGAATTTTGCTCAGTGAACAGCATGAAAAGACAGTTCTTAAGTTAATGCAGGAGAACTACTAGAGTCTCCAAAAGATCCCGGTCTCTGTGTCTTGTCATCAGAACCAAGTTGGATTGCTGCTTTTTTGAAGTACTCGGCGTTTTGCTCCTTATTAATTAAATCCATAGGTAAATGTGGATGTATTTGCTGATTTGCTCCTTATTAATTAATTCATTATCATTTAAATCTGGGTGCATTTACTGTTTTGTCTTTTGCCATGCTTTGGATGTCCCAATTATTTGTTTCGTGGTCTAGAGGTGCTGAGAATCTAACTTCTTTCAGGTACGCGATGTGGAGAGCCATGTTGGTGAAAAGGCTGTGTGTGGCTCCGAGATTGTTCAGGAGTCGTTGTCAGCCCAGCGTACTGTTGCCAGCCTCTGTCTAGAGGGGCATTTCTACCAGGCGTTCACTGAATGTGTGAAAGAAGACAAAGGGCAAGTGTTCTTTCGCGACCATTTTAGTTTGCTTGGGTCAAAATTTTCGACAGTAGCTATCACTCCTGTGTAAATATTGAAATGTTTACAAGAACCTGTTTTGGTGATGCTAGTTTATCCACGAATTCACCTCCTGTCGCCTATGTAGGTAAGTCACCGGATTCACTTCACCACGAAGCAGAGTGCTCCAAAATTCTTCGCAGTGATTTTGCTCCACTTTCATATGGTCACTTCTTCGATTCAATTCCATCTACGATTTTATTGAATTAAATCGCATGTCGGCTTCATACTTTCGCCTAAAATATGTAGAAATACTGAAATAGGATCATTTTCAAGGAATCAAACTAGGTTGAGATCATAGCCATAGAAGAGTTAACTTTAATTACAAATCAGAAAATAAATGTACACGCGGATTTATGCTCTCAGCTATTGGTGAAAGAGCACTTTCAGGGTGTCAGCAACTTGTGTTTCACCGATGTCAATGACTTGAATTACCAGTGGTGCAGTGTGTTGGATACCTTTATTAATGTTGACGTAGAGACTAGACCAAAACTGCACCGACGATTGAAAACGCCCTCCCTAATACTTGATTCCTTTTTCTAGGACTAAAACACGACAAAGAATCAGTTATTCAATCGTAAATGCTCTTGCACAGGGCATTCAATACTTCCAGAACGCGGCTATCTACTACCTTGGAGCGGTTCTCATCGATGGCGGCACCCTCAATTTAACCTCCATGTTTAGGTGATGTCCCTTTGACATGCATGCCTTGTAATTATGCAAAGAGGCAAAAAGTTTCAACTGGAGCTAAAGTTCTGAAGACCTTCGCGAATTTAATTGTGTTAGAAGAGCATTCTTCTCATAAACTAGTAGCATTCAAGTGAAAGAATATTAGTAGCGCCAAGCAAATTTTACTTGCAAAAAACTATGATGAGTCTTTTAATTGGAACGCATTTAATAACGCAAAAGCATCCGAAAGTTATAAGTTAGGTTAGTTCTAGTAAGAGGTTGAAAGTGCCCTATCAAAGCAGCAAATTAAGTGACCTTTTCTTGACCCTACTCAATATTTAGTAAGCGGTCGATTTTGGCACAGTATGAAGTCGATCGACAAGTGAAATTCCAATCTCTTAGCTTTATCACACAGTGGGGGATCCAACCTGGCATCTTATTTCCCACACACGTGTTTACTGTCTACATGGTTCCAATGTGACTTTTTCCTAAACACCATAATCTATGATTTGGTTTCGACTGCGCCGTTGTAAATTTCGTAAAAGAACAGCTCGTTTAAACACATCGTGGTTGTGTGCTCTAATTAAAAGAAATTCAAGTTCTATTTTGTAGAAGCATATCTGTTGCCAACTTTGGAGCTCAGGGCTTGGGTCGCGCAGCCAGTTTCCTACCAGACCTCAACTCTGCCATAACCAGTGGAAAGAACATCTTTAGGACTCTGGACCGTGTGACCAAGCTCGATGTTACTCGTGGTGATATTCCAAGTAACCCTATAGAGGGGAACATTGAATTTCGTAACGTTAAATTTGCTTATCCAACGAGAAAGACTGTGCAAGTATTGAAGGTATGTCGACGGGAAAAGCCAACTGCTTGAGTTCATAATAGACATATTATACTGGCACAAATAGAATTACTTAATTTACAGAATCTGTGCATTCGTGCATCGTGATTTTGGTCTACTTACTACGAGGAACAGTGAAAATGAATAGGTTTCAGGGGTTATCGAAGATAAAAGTACAGTGCATTTGTTCAAACTTTGATCTGAAACTCATCAGTGAATTTCAGTACTTCACATTTGATGATGCAGAAAGTTAAAAAATAGACCAGAATGCCCTTTCTTCGAAAGCCTCTTTTATCAGAATAGAATTTATTTGGATCACTTACACTACGTCACTGCTACCTAGAACAAGATGCTTTGAGGCAAGAGTACAAGACATCCATATAGTTTCTAACGCTGTTTGAAAGATACTTATCTTAAATGTCATTTAAGATATCTTGGAAGCATGTAAACATTTTCACAAAGTGGCAAAATTGTGCAGATTTTCAACAGCACCACGAAAAATTAAACTACTTCAGACTGCAACTCCAAAAGGTTCTGGCAGCAAAGCTTATTTTAGCCGTATGCAGGGTGCTTGCGGCCATTAAATTCAAGTGTTAAGCATGATATGCTCGCTTGTCGTTTAACTTTCTAATCGTGAGTCTTGCAAAAAAAAACTTTGCAAGCAATGCAAGTTATTACAACTTTTTCATCTAATTATATATAGGGCTTTAATTTTAATGTGGAAAAGGGAGCAAATGTTGCTTTTGTCGGTCAGTCGGGCTGTGGGAAGTCGACCTGTCTCCAACTAGTTCAACGCCTTTACGATGTCGAAAACACGTCTCTTGACGGTGGCGTATACATCGACGGGAAAGATCTGCGTAGTATCCAACCCGCGTGGCTGCGACAGCAGATAGGTGTTGTTTCTCAGGAGCCGAATCTGTTTGACCTCACCATTAAGGAGAATATTGCATACGGTGACCTCAGCCGCTCCATTCCCATGGAAGAGATAACCGATGCCGCCCGTGACGCCAACATTCATGATTTTATCTGCAGTCTGCCTGAGGTAAACTGTGATAAGTCAAGCTGGAAGTAGACTTTGCTTTAAGGTGGTTTGAGAAAAAATGCAGCTGACCTGGTTGGGTGAAGTAAAGGCTCCACAAGACCGCAACCTGTGCAATAATTATGGCTCAAAAACGAAACTCTCCAACCCAAATTTGTTCGGTGTACAGATCTGCCTGTAAAGGCGATTTGATATAGCTTTAAATCCCAAAATCATTGTGATTAGCGAAGTTGCTAGGAATGACAAGATTGTAAGTGGACTGGAAGAAAAGTAGATGTTTAAGAAATCAAAGAATGCAAAACCTGAATTGCCCGAGCGTTCTTGCTATGACTACCACCTATGGTTTTTCAGGGCTACGACACGCAGGTTGGATTGCGTGGCAGTCAACTGTCAGGTGGTCAAAAACAGCGCATAGCGATTGCTCGGGCTCTCATCCGAAAGCCTACGATCCTCCTTCTTGATGAGGCGACTTCGGCACTGGACACGGAATCGGAGCGAGTTGTTCAGGCCGCATTGAGTAAAGCTATGGCCAAGTCCTCTCGTACCAGCATGGTAGTCGCTCACCGCCTCAACACTGTGGAAACTTGTGATAAGATTGTTGTATTAAAGGACGGTTTTGCGGTGGAGAGTGGATCCCCAAGTGAACTGATGGCCCGAAAGGGTCATTTCCACGCTCTACACAACCTGGACGGCATCAAAAAGAAAGCATAAACTAAACCGGGGTGAAGAATGCCCTATTTATAATTATTTATTCAGGTTATTATTAGTGTTAATGTCCAAGCCAAAATGTCATATTATGATCATGCTTATTTTACATATGGGTTGTGGGAAAGCATTGATTCCTGATGATTTTGCAGGAAGCTTTGTAAACTCCGAAGTGAGGTTTATTAATGGTGTTGACTCCAAAGACAGCAAACTGCTTGATGGGTTAAGGCTTTCGCACGATTAACTTCCTTGTAGCTGGCTCAGCCAAGTTCTCGGGATGCCACGCAGGGAGCTCGCAGCGGATCACATACGCTACGTTGCTGCGGCATCAGCAGTCGTGTGGTGCCCACATCGCATGAGCATCTGCGCGTCCAGATCCAGGGATTTTGAAAAAAAAGTAAAACGAAATTGGAATCAAAAAAGCTTGTGATTGCGGAATATCAGGACACATGTTCCATGCTTATGTGGTATTCGGAGCTAGCGCATGTTAACAAAAACTCCTTCAACTATCACCTAGCAAGTGGATGGGAATTGAGGGGCCACAAAAGGCATTATATCAAATTCAAAAAGCGATCACGACAAGTTTAGACGTTCCATTATCATCATCTGAGATAAGACATTAGCTATAAATGCAACATTAGATTCAATTTACAGAACGCATTAATCAGGAGTGGGATTTAGAGCATCTCACCGAAACACAATTCCCCCACGGGTCCTTCAGTGCGACACCACTTG